CATAAAGCGCGCCAACTGTGATATTGACGATTCGGAGTTATTTGTCACTAAAGAGTCTGCTTCTCAGAAACAATTCAATATGGTGGGTGTTTCCGGTTATATTTGTTTTGAATCTACTTTTTCACCAAAATACTCACATGCTTGTTATACTACGTTATTATTATTCAAGGGACCGAAGACGACCCTGAGCCTATATAAACGTCATAAGCTGTTTCTGTGCAGTCCTTCGAATATGGCCTCTTTAAGCTGTGGTTACAAGTGTCTGCAGATTTTTCTAGTGATATTTAATGTCCTTGTTTGTGTAAGTTGGATGAAATTTGATGAAATATGTTTTTTCTGAAAGACATGTGGGATTGTTGCAGTTGTAATTGGAAGTTTCTCCCAAGTTGCTATTAATAAATATTCCTCTGGAGTGGATTCAAATATCAAATGGCTCGTGATCTTTGTAATAGCACTTGGATGCTTCCTAGTTGTGTTTGGATTTCTTGGGTTTTTTGGATTGGTTACCAAGAATACCTTCTGTCTAATCTTGTAAGTTGCTATATACACTAATTTTAAAAACCAAGTACACCGCTCTACTGTCAGCCGTTGTGCTGATCGAAATAGCGGGAGGGTAGCGGCAGCTGTGCTAAAAAAAGACGTGAAAACTCAATTCCAATCTCTGATTAAAAGCTCCGTTTCTGAATATAGCAAGAATCCGGACTTGAAGAAACTCTTAGATAAGATACAAAAAGAGGTACATCATTACAAAACGTAGTTTATTTTGCAGTTTCATTGTTGCGGCTCTGAATCGCCAAAGGACTACATATTGACTGGGCAAACCATCCCTGATTCATGTAAAAATCCAGAAACTAAGATTCCATACTCAGATGTAAGTTGAAATAAATTTTGTTTTGCTGTCAAAATATTTTATCAAGTTTTGTATTTTTTCCAAAACCCGTGAGATGTGATGTGGGAGTAGGATCGGATGCTCTACTATACCAATTGGTATTAATACATCTCTTGTATTAGCTATTTGCATGGTGTTTAAACCTATAAAATGTGTTGAAATAATAAGGAGCAACGGAAGAGTGAAAATTACAATCTTTGTGCATGAGTGAAAGCTAATCTATCAAATCTCAATAGTAAACTGTTTTGAATGTTTGTACAAGCTTGGAATCTCGATTAAATACTTTATGAAATGCCTATTAACAGTCAATTTTAAAGTACTACTATCTTCAGCCAACGTGACTACTCAGGACTTACTGTTTCCTGGAGTTGTGAACATGATCTTCTGTTTGCTTTCTTCAGTGATACGAATAGGATAGGAGGTTTTTTGACCTACGCCGCGAGATTTCAGACTCAGGAAGTACCTTAGGATGATTGCAGTCAAATAAACCTAATCCTAAAGTAACTATTAATTTACACAGAACCACATGAAGATTGCAAATGTCTACGCAACTTTTGGGATATTCAACTTATCACTAATGTGTAGATATTAGAACCATCACTAATTAATTTAAAACACGCTAAAAATCTTTGATATTCGGCTTTGCTTACAGTTTGGAAATTTTCTTAATACTCAGGTGCTAAGAGTAATCACTTCATTAAACTTTCAGGATCACACTTCAAAATTCAAACAATTCAAGCCACATCTAAATCTGATGGTTCATATTTATACGTTAAGACGTTTGGCCTAATGTTGTCCATAGACTTGATGAGCATTGCACACTGACTTTGTGTGGTGGGGTAACGTTAGTGTTCATAGTTGTAGAGATCTGCTTTTCTAGTGAATCATGTCTGAACACATCCCTACTAAGTGGGATTGTTACTTGAGTCAGCATTTAATAATGGGTAATGGTTGCACACTGGATAAAATTATTAGTACGACGACAAATATGTTTGATCGTTATTGGTATGGTTCAACTCACCCTTTTACTTTTCACAGTAGTGGATAGATAATCTTGACCGGTGAGGTTCGCATTTGTCTGAAGAGCACATCAAATCACAAATGTTTTCCTTGCTTGCTTGCTTGCTACTAGAGTACGCTGTTTCTGGGTGAGGCACGGTATAAACATAGGTGATTATTTAAACTGATGACCAACACTCTGAGTCAGCAATGGATATCGCACACTATCTCCGGTCATTTTGAAAACACAGACCATGTTTCCAGGATACCACCTACCCGATGTTAAAAGATTTTGACCTCTACCATCAGAAATAGGGCAATTATTTCCTGAAACTTAATCTCTATTTTAGTCGAACGTAATAATGTTCTTTTTAATTTCAGGGTTGTTCATGCAAAGTAATCGCCTTCTTTGAAAAGTATATTATTGCCGTTTCAGTAGCGGCATTTGTATTTGCCATCCTCCAATTGTCGTGTATTGTTTTTGCCATCTGTGTTATTCGAGCTATCAAATCTGGCGATTACGGACAAAACTAGAGTATTTAAAGTTGTGAACGCCATATTTGATTTTTTGACAGCTTTCAACTTGGCATAATCAAGCTTCTTTCCTCGTTTTTTATTTCACTGTCATTTATTAAACAAAGAATGGAGTCTTGTATTTTGCTCAATAAACATTCTAAACAATTATGAATAACCCAAGCTTACTGTAATTAAGATTATAATATTAACGGAAAATATAAAATCTAAGTAATGTTTTCAGGACGTATCTTTTCATTTGCCTTTATTGGTTGTTTAAATGAATTAAACTGACACAATGCTTCTTACCAAATGTGGAGTTATGTCAGCAAAGTGTATAGACACTTCACATTCTACTACTTCTGTAACTTCACATTTGACAAACAATAAACATAGATTAGAAGGATCCGAACTAGTTCTAAATCCGAACTAAATCACTAGATGACATGATTGTAATTACAGCGAATCAATAGGACAACATTTATGTTTATGAAATGGATTTGAAAGATCTGATATCTTTACGAGTTAGCCGTGATGGAGAATCGTCATGATTTATCACTTTCTTTCTAAGTGTTAGGGTTGTTTTAGAAGATGTACGATGAAAATGTACAAAACTCCTCTGTGATTCAGTCTACAACAGCAAAATTGAAGTTTCTCATCAGAGATCAACTTTGTCTATGCAGCCAACAAAAAAACAAAAAGTGTGTAATTACAGTGAGATCTTAATTCAGAAATTCATTAACGGAATATACATCATTTTACTATTCACTTTCCTTTGAAAGTAGGAACAGTATGTTTATTTCAATTAATTGACAATCAAATTTTAACATGATTAAGAAAATGGATTCGATCTGTGGCACTTAGTTTTAATGAAATTATGTCGGTCTTTCGAAGCGACATAGTAACAGAAATAGTACGTAATGGGTATATTTAACTATATAAATATACGAATGTTGTCAGAGTATGAAATTCTTGCGAATTAGTGCTTAACCGCCTATATTTCTTTAAAATTTAGAATAATGAAACCACTTGTAACAACCTCAATGACAACGTGAAAAGCCGATGACTGATTGACCATTCGTTTTAAGAATAGGCAGTGTATAAGAATATACTGTTGGTGAAAGCTGTTTATTACGGAACAGAGTATAACATGGTATTGGATCACTGAGAGTGGTAGTCACATAGGGCTCGACCATCACAACAAGATTAGAGAAACATGATGGCGGTTACTTAAGAACGATCAATCAATGTTGATATCTTAGTCCTATAGGAGAAAACCAGTAGTCCAAATAGCCTCGAAGAAGTCTCTGACTCGGACGCTGGATAGAGTAAGTTTGAGTTGAATCATGTGTAAAGATTTCGACAAAGATTTATAGGGAACCTTGCTGGTTAGTTCAAACTAGATAAAGATATGTAGATTTACAGCTTATTGCTCAAGTCTTAAACTTAATAACGCGTCATGTAAGAGAGCACTGAAATGCCTAAATATCATATTTTGATCACTTCTCAGCGGTCTTCAGCTCCTTTTGCGTGAATGGCTAGCCGATAACTGTTGACAGTCATTCTGTGACTAACAATCTGGAACCTGGAACAAATGCACGTCAGATCCTAGTGTGAGCATGCAGACAGGAAATTACCAAGATATGTGTGTTAACAGGTTATTGTTTATAAATCTATTCGATTCGGAATAACACCCGACTGCGTCGCAATGCAAGCCATCTGTTGGAATCCTCAACGCTGAATGAAGAGAAGAGGAAGACCAAAGAGAATGCTGATCGGTGGACTATGCTCCATCTGGAGTAACAGGCGTAAGTAAGTAAGTGAGTAATCTCATAATCTTTTCCTTGAATTTGATTTATTCATTAAAATATGTAACTATAGAAAATGAAGAGAATTTATTGAAATGAATATTCTTTATTCGTAAGATCAACATTTCAACCATAGTGAAATATACTATAATAAACATTGAAATACCATTCATCATTAATAATGAGATGATAATAGATTATTATGAATAATTCTAATTATATCATAGTTCATCTCATTATATACTAATTACATCGTAAAAATACATAAAGAAATAATAATAATAATAATAATAATAAAATGGAATTACATAATGATGATATTAGATTATTTGAAGGGGTAAGTGAAATATTTAGTTTATAATGAGTGTGAATGAACTTGGACAAAGTTTTCTTTCTGTTCTCTTTCTTTTTGTTGTGGTTGTTGTTATTTTTAGTCTTTTGAAATTTTTCCGTTTAAATATTTTTAGACAATAAGATAAATCGGTAATTATTGACACAGAAGTCTTTGACATTGATCCAATTAGTGATTAGACAAATTCTTTATTGTATCCATTCTACACATTCCACAATATATCAAGGTTACAAATCTATGAAAGAAATCAATGATGAGCATGAATCAAATATATAAGTATAAAATTATTATGGAAGTTAATGAGAATAAAGTAAAGTATGATTTGACATTTCATATTATATGGTCGACCATAAAATAAAGAAAAGAACAGAATAGGCACAGTAAATTGGATGAAATCAACTTGAGGAATTATTGCATATATCTACCATTGTATATCAGAATGTGTAAGAAACAATCAGTGGAATGTCAGTACAAATGGTTGAAGAGATTTTTAATTGTGTCTAATTCATTAAATTTGGTAAGTGTTTTGTTGTCATAAACACCATGCATAGTGTTTAATTATTCTTTATTTATTTCAATGGTTGAGATCGTGAGTCAGTTGAAGCTAGGACACTATGGAAAACCTGGAAGTACTGGACGGCCGTTTCGTCCTATTTTGGAACTCCCCAGCAGTGCGCGTCCACGATAGAGGTTCGAACCCAGGACCTATCAGTCTCGTGCGCGATCGCTTAACCATTAGACCAATGAGACGGCCGGCATCCAACGGTGTTAGTGTCTAACTTCAACTAATCCACGACATTGGGCGACACATCCACTATTGTCATCAGTGAGTAACTATCTCAGAATAGATCTGGTTGAACCCCACTGGTCAGTGCTTCTCTTCTTAGAACTTTATTACTTTGATTACTGTTTATTTCGCTGATGCAATGAGAAGACAAAGTTTATCAGAACTATGTGATGATCTATTTGGGCAATACACTTCGAACACTCTGATCACACATGGTCAAATATGATCACAGGATAGATAGACATTATCCTCCATTGCGAAACATTTGACTGAGACTGGTCATAAGGATAACATCAAATCAGCTCTTGTAGTGTTGTACAAAAGCCTTGAAGGAGGTATACTAGGGTTCATTGAAACCTTCACTACACGGAAACTGAAACCCTCTTTATGCATTCGAAGACAATGTGTCCTTAACACTTAACACCTGCCCTGGTAATACTGATTCATTATCCAAAGTGGTAATCACATTGTTTTGGTTTACCTTAATATATTTTTTTTCTTTATTACAGCTTACCTTCAACCTGTCTAGTTGACCTTTTCATTTTCACATGAAAATGTCTTAACAAGTACATTATGTGTGATCAGTTTTTTTCGAAATGTCTCAAGTCTTCTCATTGTATGATCGAAGTTTATCAAAGGAACTAATTGTTTTAAATACTATTTATTTCTTTGTATTTTTTTTCTCAGGTATTTGGTACATGTTTAATTGTTTTGAGCAGTTATGTACATCTATTTCTGAGTACATTTTTACGTAATATGCCAGTTCATATGTTATCATTGACATTTATCATGATGGCACTTGGATGTCTTCTGTTCTCACTTGGTAGTATTGGTATATTATTCGTTTTCACTGGACGTCGAAGAATTAATGCACTTGTAAAGTTGAATGCTGTTGTGAACTAATACTAATTTTGTTATTTATTTATGATTACAGTATACAGTACTGTTGATAGTGGCTGCATCAATCAGTATCATTGTTATTGTAACGACATCCATTTTGCGTAAAAAGGTAATGGTTTTAATCAAGTGAATGTTTCATACTCATATTATAAACACTTGTTTAATACGGTTTGTTCAATACTTAGATGGGTATGATGTTTCGAGATGTCATCAAAGGTTCGATCATCCAGTATACTAGGAAAAATAGTTATGCAGCATTTGTGAACACAATACAATTGCAGGTAAATTACACTTGAAAAGAAACTGTTTTGTAATTCATGTGTTTTTCAAAAGCATAAATGTTGTGGTGCAAATTCAGTCATGGATTATACTGTGAGTAATCTCTCAATACCAGTTTCATGTTATCCTGACAAAGCCATAATACCGCATAAAAAAGTAAGTGCTGATTAACAGTTTTGTAATTCAGATTCAGATTTGTGTAGTAAGGACAGAAGGCATACAGCCTATGTTGTTCCTTTTCTAGTATGTTTCTGTGAGTGTCCAGTCTTTTGTTCAGAGTCCCGATTGAAGGTGCGGACACCACTGCTTCGGGCAGCAGTTTCCATGTATTGATGACTTTTATACGGCGGCTTGCAGCATGAACGCAGTCCTCAAGCTTGCTTCTCACTAAGGATGTGCATACTATGGTGAACATGATTGTATCTAACTTAGTGAATATCTGTTTTAAAGCACAAATGGTTCGAAACCCCTTAGCAATGGGCCGTCGTCTTAACATCATTGCTCACTGTCACCCCTAGGTCCTTATGGGACCGGACTACGGGCAATGACACATCCCAATGTTGTACGTATTAACCTTTGAATCCCCAAAGTGCATGTAGACACACTTTGCTGTGTTGATGGGCATCAGCCACTCTTTAAACCAGTTAATCATATTATTTAAGTCTGCCTGAAGAGCACATGCGTCTGTGTCTCCAGTTATTACTCGCCAAATCTTTACATCGTCAGCGTATAATAACATTGGAAAATGTACTATGCTTGGAAGATCATTAACATATATTATAAAAAGTAAAGAACCTAGGACGGAACCTTAAGGTACCCCTTTAAGTACTGGTCTCCAGATGGAGCACTTGGAATTTATTCTTACTTTCTATCTACGATCTACTAGGAAATCCTTAATCCATTTTAAAAGAGGTCCGGCAATACCAAGGTTTGCCAACTTCAATAGTAGTCTATTAGTTGGCACCTTGTCAAAAGCCTTATTGAAGTCTATGTAGACAACATTCACTGAGTTTCCGTTGTTTAGCGCCTTTATCGAAAACCCCCTTGTTATGAGGAGGTTCGCCGTACAAGATAGACACTTTCTAAAACCATGTTGTTCTATGTTTAGCAAGTCATTGGTTTCCATAAATGCCATTATAGTCCTATTCTTTCCAATATTTTAACTACAACACTGGTGAGGCTTACAGGTCTGTATGGGAGTGACGATTGCGTCCTTCCAGTCCATAGGTAACACACCTTGGTCAAGTGACATATTGAATATCACAGTTAGCGGGGCCGCGATACATTGTGCAATATATCTCAAGATTTTGGGTGTAGTTCATCTGGTCCTGTTGACTTTTCTACGTTTAAAGTGCTAAGAGCCTTAAGCACACGGTGAGCAGGTGATTTGTTGACCCTGTATTTTGGTCTGGTTCTTTGTCTAGAGGAGGTTCTTGAGTGAAAACTGCACCAAAATAGTCAGCCATAGCCTCTGCTTTTATCTGATCCTCCTCCATCATTTCAGATCCACTCCCTTCTTTAATTAGGTTGGGAATCCAATGATGCATCCTTGTTCTGTAGTTTATGTACGAGAATATCCTCTTGGGCTGCTTGAGTGCAGATTCTGCCAGCTGCATTTCATATTTTCTTTGCACTTCCCGAATCTTAGTTATACACTCGTTTCTTATCGATCTGTAGCGTTCCATCGTACATGCTGTGCCAAGGCGGATGGCAACATTCCAACGTCTCTTCTTTTGTCTTAGTAAACGTCGAATATTTCGGCCTATCCAAGGATGGCCGTGCTTCTTCTTCTTTGGAACTGTTCAGGGTATGTATAGTTGAGTTACCTCATTGTATAACTGCCTGAAAACAGTCCATATCCTCCTGAATTAGTAACTTCTTATTTGTACGGCAAAACATACAAAGCCAATGCGAGTTAGGCTTCGATCATATTTTGTATGCCTTAGGACTTAGACGTGTACACATCTTATGGTACCACTGTTTACATTAATCGCACTGCATTCCTTCCTAAACGGGAAACAAGCAGTTTGGTTATCCACATTTATATGTCCTACTAACCATTCTAATTTGATTAAAAATGTTTAAAACACAATATGATCACAGTGTGAACACGAGTGTCAGTCAATGAGTAAAAAAAGGTACCACAGGACAAAGTTTATCAAAAATTTCAAACCTTAACCAACGTACTTTTAGTTAAAGTAGACCAAGAATGCTTTTGGGTGCAGTAAGTACACAAAGCAAGGATAATCACGACAAGTACAAAAATCACTGCCCTTTTTTTCACCTAACAATTTGTGTGTTAATGGGGAATACTTCCCTGTAAAACATTGATGGATGTTTTGCGTGTCCCTTCAGGAATGAAATAAACATGTGCATACAAAACTGAACAGCCAACTATGTATTGTTTCATAACTTTTAAAACATGATAGTTGCCATTGTAATAAGCATTTAGCATAAACTGACCGGATTAACTTTAGGATGCTCAATGCTGAATTTATACAAATATTTATGGTAGCGTAAAGTTACAGGAGGAAATGACTGTAAGGAAATATTTCGTTCTTTCTCACTTTCCTGAGATGTCTGAATAGACATTTTCGATTAGGTTTCATTTATTCCATTCTATAAATCTTCTTTGCAGGAAAGTCAAAAGAATTGATAGTCCGTGATACATAAATCCGTATGAAACTTACAATTTATAGTAAATTTCTTTCAGGTAAAAGAAACAGTCTAGCATTTTTACATGCATGAATACACTTAGTGGTTCCTTTGAAACACACTTAATCACAACAAACTATATGTCATCCAGATGTGATAACATTATGCTGTTTGTATTTGTACTTGTTGAGATGTCTTAATTACTAAAATTGTGTCGTGTTAGTCTATTGTTTATGGTGATAATACATTACAATTTTGATCATTCTTCATTTTATTTACACGAACATGGAACTCCATATCACACTTGATCTTTGGAGAGAATCGATCTGATTTTCTAAATAAAAATAGAAGGTACATGAAGAGATGGGTTTATGTTTTGTTCCGATGTGAAATATCAACTTCGTTTTGCTACTACTGACTTACCCTGTAAACTTTTCCAATTCTACTGGATTATTAGGCGTTTTTGTATGACTTATGTGTTTACATGCATTGTTATTGGTAAAGGAAATTTATGTTGAATTGATGTACAAAGAAGTGTAAGATAAAAAGGGTGTTGAAATCAGGAAAACGATACCCTAATTTCAAATAAAAATAATATATTTGTAATATCCCAATGAGTAGAAAATTAGATTTTCTGACGTTTCGTGACTCAGTGTAAGTCACTTCTTCAGACAATAAATAGTATAATTGGTTTAAATGGACAGATACCTGACCACAATCACTCATTGCTAACAATAAAATTTTGTCGAAACACGTATCTAAATATTGATGGAGATGTGTTGGATGGTGAGAACCCTTTAGAATTGTCTCTTTAGATGTGTTCATTCAATTTGTTGGACTTTACATACTCTCCATAAACTTCTATGAAAATGTTAATCAAATAAGGAGAATATGTATGTATATATGTAGTTTTAACATTTTTCTTTTCTTCAGGGTTGTGCGAAGATGCTTAACGCGATCGTCCAATGTCATTTAACTTACATCACTTCATTACTGGTCGTGTTTTTACCGATGGACATAGCCTCAATGGTTTGTGGTATACTTATGCTACACAAAGTGAAATCTGTCCCATGGAAAACAAGATTTGCTCATTGTTGATAGCTTCAATAATACCGTTTAATTGATCATTTGACATTTATACTATTGTAATGAACCAACAATGAGAATGTAACATTGTTTGAGCATCTTCGATGTAAGTGTGAAACGCTGTCAGTTGGTTTTGTCGATATCATTTTACATTTGTGGCAACTCTTCTACAATCAAATTCCATTTGGATTAAATTTTGCTGGGCGCTTTCATTAGCTTAACTAACAGACAATGTTATTCGAACAGTAACAATCCGTTTATTTCTTTGTACTATTATGACCAGTATCTTCTCTGTATAAAGGAGTACGCTTGTTCACATGATAGCCATGCATATACTTCTCTGGCTAAAATGTTGATGGCTCAAATATCGCTCGTTGAATCATTCTCTTTTCCATGTCCTCGAATCTTATTATTAGCCTTTGACTTGCCTAGCTTGGCCTTATTCAATTTGACTATAATTCACCTCTGTATTTGCTCGCATACACACATTCGCCTTTCTGCTTTAAATTCGCTCGATGTGCTTGTAGCTTTGTGATCTATGCTATCCGCTAATAAACAGTATTCGCCGCTTCTTATTGCCTTCTGACTTCAGACACCGTTGACATTTACACAATAACGGTTATCAAGGTGATTGATTAACGAAGATATGCCGCTTCATATTCTTCATATTCCGGTATTCATTAGAAATTCTTCTAGACAAAAACCATAAACAGATCCAGCTTTTGTATAAATTAAGAATTCTCTGTGATGTTCACGGATTATAACTGAACAGATGGTTTTATTATCATTCTATTTGATACAATGATTGAAGATATTTGAGTTCGTTATCCACTTATCACTATCTACGTTAGACTAATTTTTTCAATAGTTTTCTGTACAGTAAGAGTAAATGAAAAATGTTTATTATTTCTGTTATTAAATAAAAAAGGCAGGAAGTATGGCCACATTACCTAGCCTTACTTTGTCTTGGATTTCTGTATGCAACTCATTAAAAATCCTGAAATTTGATACACTAGTCCCAGTATAAGGGTTGTGTCACTTTGAATAAATGTTTTCCTTTTTCATTCTCTTCTAAACAATAGAAAATGATAACTCAATAGATGTTAGGAGATGAAACACATTTGTCCAAACCCTCTTACACTCGCTTCATATTTGTACTATAAAGAACTAAATACATGACAAATGCAGTATTTGCAATACCGTATTGATGGCACTTGTCTATTATCACCGCTTTGTTTACAATAACGTTTCATAACCCAATAATAATACTATCTGTTTTCCAGTGATTTATGGAAACTCATAATTAATGTAATTTACTCATACATATCCAGTAATATATCGTTTTATTAACCAGTTTCATTTTGCTCAGTTAAATGTTTTTGGATTCTGTATTAGTGAATAATTTGTATCGATTTCTGGTGTTATAATGTGTCATTATGTCAATCAATGTTGAAAGACTTCATCTGGCTGATGTAC